AATGCTAAGTAAGTGTTATGTTTGTCAGTTTGCCTTTATTATGAATCTAAAGCAGAATTTTTTATTTTCTAAATTACAAATATTAACCTCATACCATAAGGGAAAATGAATAGAAAAATGGGAAAAATGCTGTGCTCATTTTTTAAACTTTTGTGAAGTCTCTGCACATAGATGGCTTTGCTAGTGCTTAGCCACAAAGGAGTCAATGAGTAGACCTTGTGACCTTACCTGATTAAATATTTTATGTCACATGATTGTCATTACAGGTCCTAGCATTTATATCTTTGGAGGTGAATACCTCTTTGGAAATGGCAACTGGAACAAATCTGTCTGGAGATACAGCACAGCCTCGCGCAAATGGATTATTGAAAACTCGTAAGTTGTTATGCCTTATCTCGTAAACTCATTGGTCTTCATCAAATGAATATGTTTTCTTGTTCAGATTTGGAATATGTGTTGTATATTATGGGGTTTTGGTATATTATTCTAATATGTAAACTTGAATAGGATTGAATAAAAATTAAACAGACACTATGAAAGGAGATGCTTTAAGAGAAACTGCAGATATTCTCTTGCAATGTTGAGAGAGTAATTCCTCTTTGATTTTTTGCCTTAGCAATATTTTATCTAGTGAACTATGAATGCAGTGATAATGATGTACTGCCTATGGTTGATGCTGAAGGACGGGTTTCTGAAAATAAAAAAGAACTTTCCGCTTCATACAGGTTACCACAGCCAAGGAGGCACCAAATGATATGTGTCGTTGATTCAGTCATTTACCTGCTGGGAGGATACGGGAAATACAGAGTTGTGCAAAGTTCCGTTGATGCGTATGACACAACAACAGGTAATTAAGGAGCTGCTCCCTTTTTGGATTTTTTTTTTTAGTAAGTAAGTAAGTAAGTTGTAAGTAAGTAATTAAATAAGGAGCTGCTATCTTTTTTGTACCAGAGAAGGAATGAACTGTCTGGAAATCTTGTTTTGTTGAAACAGAGAGTTGTGAAAGGTATAAGTAAATACATAAGTCTTATGCACAGCCCTTTTAATTCATACAGGCTAAAACATCATTCATATTTTTCCTTTAAACTTCGCAGGGGAATGGCTGCGTTGCCCAGACATGCCCCATTGTGTAAGTCATGGTGCTGTCTGCAACTTCAAAGGCAGGCTGATGGTATTCACTCAGGAGATGCAACTACTTACATATTACCCAAAGATGAAGAAATGGTCAGCCATACCTGTTAGATCGCCCAATAAGCAAGGTTATAGAGCTGCACTTACCTGGGAGAATGCAGTGTATCTCATAGGTAAGTTCTAATGTTTGATTCTGAGACTGTGATAGATAGGATTGCTCTACATTATGGGTTTTTATTTGATTTATTTTGATTGCTTTATTTATTACTTTTGATTATTTATTGTATTAGATATAACACAGTGGACCCTTAACACTGGCAAGGGTTGTGTTCCCAAACTTTTGGGTACTGTGGACCATTGAATGTGCTTAATACATAAAAATGCTTGCTATTTACCAGGAGCTTGCAAATGCATGATAACTATTTTAGAATTTTAAAATAGGTAAGTATTCAAAGCACAGCACGCATTTGATATATAATGGTTCATGCATACTTGGCTCCAATCATTGCATAATTTAGTAACCACTTTAGTGTATAAATCTCAAAAAAGTCCCTGTACTTTTCACAAAGAAGTGGCTAAATTTTGCATTAAAACTGAAGAATTTTGTAAAGTACAAAAGTTAAGAATGACACAGTCACAAAGAGGCTGATGATACCTACTGTTCATACAAGAGAGAGTAAGAGTAGGATGTCCACATTTAATACTCTGCCCAGTTTAGGTTTTTCATATGGTCCTTTTTTTTTTTTCTTTTTTTTTTTTTTTAGTAAGTAAGTAATTAAATAAGGAGCTGCTATCTTTTTTGTACCAGAGAAGGAATGAACTGTCTGGAAATCTTGTTTTGTTGAAACAGAGAGTTGTGAAAGGTATAATTAAATACATAAGTCTTATGCAAAGCCCTTTTAATTCATACAGGCTAAAACATCATTCATATTTTTCCTTTAAACTTCGCAGGGGAATGGCTGCGTTGCCCAGACATGCCCCATTGTGTAAGTCATGGTGCTGTCTGCAACTTCAAAGGCAGGCTGATGGTATTCACTCAGGAGATGCAACTACTTACATATTACCCAAAGATGAAGAAATGGTCAGCCATACCTGTTAGATCGCCCAATAAGCAAGGTTATAGAGCTGCACTTACCTGGGAGAATGCAGTGTATCTCATAGGTAAGTTCTAATGTTTGATTCTGAGACTGTGATAGATAGGATTGCTCTACATTATGAGTTTTTATTTGATTTATTTTGATTGTTTTATTTATTACTTTTGATTATTTATTGTATTAGATATAACACAGTGGACCCTTAACACTGGCAAGGGTTGTGTTCCCAAACTTTTGGGTACTGTGGGCCACTGAATGTGCTTAATACATAAAAATGCTTGCTATTTACCAGGAGCTTGCAAATGCACGATAACTATTTTAGAATTTGAAAATAGGTAAGTATTCAAAGCACAGTGCATGCAAGTGTACACATTTGATATATAATGGTTCATGCATACTTGGCTCCAATCATTGCATAATTTAGTAACCACTTTAGTGTATAAATCTCAAAAAAGTCCCTGTACTTTTCACAAAGAAGTGGCTAAATTTTGCATTAAAACTGAAGAATTCTGTAAAGTACAAAAAAGAGGCTGATGATACCTACTGTTCATACAAGAGAGAGTAAGAGTAGGATGTCCACATTTAATACTCTGCCCAGTTTAGGTTTTTCATATGGTCCTTTTTTTTTTTCTTTTTTTTTTTATTAAAGTAAAAACACAATTTTTATTAAATGAGTATTGTTTGAAGCTGGATTATTTTGTGTAGGATTATTTTGATCTTGCAGTTTAGTTTGACTACAGTACGATGCGACAGATATGGCTTTGGGTCCTATGTAAAAGCAGAAGCCATTTCAATCATAAATATTGGGTAAAACAATCACATAAGTCACTATAAAATTCTTTTATGATTAGTAATTTCATCGTTGATTTATCTATTTCCATCGGCAGACAACTGTTCACCCAAAGTATACCAGTACTTACCAGAAGGTGGCCACACAATATCTTACTTTGGCCATTTCACAACACCACCGGTGAACGTGTGCATGGTGGATGGCATTATCTATAGCTTTAGCCATGACGACCTCGACGACAGCCATGTCATAGAGGTGTTGGATGTTGCCGAAGCTTGCCCGAACACTGCCAAGACAAGAGGTGATAAGAGCAAGCAAGGTTTGGAAATGGAAGATGTGAGCAGACAGAGACAGAAGAGTGAGAATAGCGAAAGAAGTGAAAGTGTCGTTTCAAGTAAGGAGGAGGAGAGCAGTGGGGGGAAGAGGGGGGAGGAGAGGAGCGAGGGGGACTCCTCCTCCTCTCCGTCCTCCTCTTTTCGGGCTTCGAAGGAGATCTGGAGAGAGAAGGAGACAGGACCCTTTATCTTCACCACAAAATGCCCGGCAGACACTACCTTCTCGTTAGGCTGTTTCCCACTTTTGAAACTGAAGTAAGGAAATAATTTGTATTCGTTGAGGATTACTGTGGATGGAAGAAATGAAAGAAAAATAGAAAAATGTGTATATGACATTGAAAATTGCATTTTTTCTTACAGTGAGAACCATATAAATGGCATATAAAGGTGTTAATTATTAATTTCTGAATAGACTGATGATGAAGGAAGCATACAGGGAATATTTTATACATATATTTATATTTAGGCAATTGCATTCCTTAACAAGACATTCTATGTTTTTCTTTTTGCAAGATTTTTTTTTTTAATGAGAACATTCCTTTTTTTCTCAGAGTAAGAAGCTGTTGAATGTGCACTCAATACCTTTTTGTATTTATCTCAGGTGGTCTCATTTAGTAATACTATATGACTGTATCCAAGATTTCTACATTTCCTTTTGTTGTTGTCTCTGTAATGGTGCTGTGATAAAGAATGGAGTTTTTTAGTAATACACAACTATTTCTGACATGTGTATTGCAAGGTAAATTTAGCCTCTGTAGACATTGGTGTAATTATGGCACTAATAAAGTCAAATTAGAAATTATTTATATATTTCTGTTGTCATACATTTCTGTATTTCTCAAGATAAAGATTTCCATTTTATTTTCTTGTATGTGTTTTCTTTTATCCTCTCAAAAAAAAAAAAAAAAAAAAAAAAAAAAAAAAAATCTGAGTAACATCTCACATGGTAGAAAAATTACTCATGAAGTAACATCTTGTGATAAAAATATGTTCCAACAAGCCATTTTTGTTACAAGCAATTACTGAGGTTTGTCTAGTACATTTAGATATTGTTATGCAAAGAATGTTATTAGAGAAAATAATCAAAATATTCCTAAGGAGGGATGTAAAGTAACTTTGGGTATTTTTAGCATACTGTCAATATAATATGCAGGTCAGGGTGCAAATTTACCTGAGCTATGACCATATATATGAAAAAATAAGTTGAATGTATTAATCTATAACCTAGATTTGTTTAAAATATTCAGCATATAATAGATGTGTGATTTCTCTGAAGTTCATCCCTTATCCAATTGGCCTTGTGTTCATATGCTGGTGTGATCTCCATCCTGGTATTAAAAGATCAGCTGCACTTTGGTGGGAACAATTTTAGATAGGTTATCATGCATGCAAAAGAAATCTCAAAATTGTGTCCTTGCTATGGGGCTGATCTCTTCACTCAAAGTATACTATGGGACATGTATGGTATGGAGAAGCAGTAACATCAGGTGGAGAGTGTAGAAGCATTCTAACACTTGCAAAAGCTAATGTAAGTTGCAATAATGTTTGTTTCCTCTGACTCAATCACTTTGTTCTTTTCTGAATTTTTGTCCAACTGGTTCAGGTATGATGAGAGTGATACTCTCTTATGATCTCGCTTATTAATGTTTGATTGGACTGCTGACTGCCATTATTTCCAACTGAATATTAAAATACAACCATTGGCATGTGCTTTTGCTCATGATAGACATTGAACTTTATAGAAACAAATATTTCAAGGTACACTGAAAGGAGAGACTAAAACAACATGAAGACTTTCTCCCTAGAGGTATTCTGTGAGAGGAGCAGTGGGCCACAAAGGTCATAGCTTCTTAGTTCGGTATCTGCATTCTTGAGAGACTTGACATAAGCATCACTGTCCTTGTCAAGTGCCTTGCCCTACTCTGGAGTCATTGCCATAAGTAAATTTGAGACTGACCGGTTCAAACAGATTTTTCCCATAACTTAAAAAAAAGTCTGTAGGTTCACTTTTTACTGTTGTGAATGGGCACCACTTACGGGTGCTCCCATGATCTGGACTATTTCTAACAAAAGATTCAGCTTTGAGAGTGTTTCGCAAGAGGAACTGCCAATGGCCGGCATGTAATGTGGACCTATCCCTTTAACATTCAATGTTGGTATTATTTCCACACCTTGGCTGATGTTATTTGGATGTTTGGGAGGCTATGATTGTTTTGCCTTGGTATGTCTGGCAATAATTGTTCTGGGTCAGTAAAACGGATTTTCCGATAGAGATATGATACCAAGGTCACGTGACATGTGCTTGAGGGCTTTTCTGTAGATATTTTGTCATTGACTAGGACTGCGTGGTGTTTATATTGTAGCCGGCATCTGTTTTTTGTGTTGGATACAGCCCTACTTTCATGTCTAAATCAGTATTGATCCCCAGCTTTTATGCATTACGTTTGGTTTGATATTCTCCAAGGACATAGATAACTTGTGTCATGTCCAACAATCAGGCGGTGCGATATATTTCCTCGTCACCTTGTAGAGATCTTAATTTTGATAATTTGTGAGCAGCGTCATGTGGTCAGACGATCCGGTGTAGTCCAAGGGTGACACGACCTCTTGAACATCGGTCACCAAGGATACCAGAGAAGATCCAGACTTACGTGCGGGGAAAATGAAAATTATTATGCAATCCATGCGCCACCACGCGGTCATTGAATGCTCTGCCCGCTAGATAATAACCAAGCCAGAATGATCTGTTGACAGGAGCGAATCTACGGCAGGTTATCTAAGTGGTCAGTCAGGAATGAAAACATGTTGCCTTGTCATCACGGTCTGTAATAAAGACAAGAAGTAATGTCTTATTATCTTGAAGGACATAGTTTCCGGGTATTCAAACACGTCTACTTAAAGTTGCTTTACACATACAATGTACTTGTAGAGAATTTTCCGAAAGTGCTTTATTTTCCGTTCCTTCGGCGCCGTGATAGTTTAGTTATCAAGAACTGAAACGTACAAAAAAGAAGAAAAAAAAACAACAGTAATTGTAACCTCTATGTCATCAGAGACAGCATTATGTGTGAGATTACTGTTAGCCTGTAAGCCATGTAAATTGACAGGTAATATATTGAACGTGTGTAGGGGGGGGGGGGATTGTATCAAGAAACTAAGAAGGCGATACTGTTTTCCACCTACTCACGATCTATACTCCTGAACATCTGTGTTTGCCGTGTGGTCTCTTCGATGATAGTATTCATAAGTTCTCTACACCTTAATTCTAAGTGCCCTTTTCTTTTACATTTTGTTTTTAGTTTAGTTCTTTTTCAGTCTAATATTGCGTTCTGACTAAGAGTCTAACCTTTTACGCTTGCGTTGTCAATAGGTCTTCGTGACGTCTGAATATTTTGAATGATGTGCGTTCTTGTACTTCTTCAAGACGTTTGTATGGGTTTATAAATTTAGCATGAGATGCCTGCTGAAGTGGCTGTAGCTCAGGTGACACCGAAGGCAAATTTAGCTTCTGACTCATGTCTAAATAGTTTTCTTTTTACTCTTTACTTATTGGCTTCTACCCCTCACTCTGTCAGTAGTCTCTGCGCGTGTTGTTGCTGAGATAAGTCTTTACCTCCAGTGTCTCAGTGTTGCCTTTTATAACTTATTGTGAAAGGTCTACCCCTAACTGTCGTCCACTAACAGCTGATTTATATCGTACGCTTCTTTGTTTTTACTAATGACTATTGCGAAGTTGTGCCCTCTATCTTTATTATTATATACACATTCCACTACCCCAGTCTACTCAGGTTGAGGCATCCTCTACATATAAAATGTCTTCGCCATACGAGCTTGCAACATGATGCAAGTTTCGACAAGAACAACCGTCCTGGCACCTGACCGCGTTTTCTAGTGTTCTGCTGATAACGAAGCGAAAAAACACGCAGGGAGTATGCCCGATGGAATAGAAAGGAGGAAAGGCGAACCAGCAATTTTTTCTTCTTTTTTTTTGATAGGTGGTTGTTTGTCCTTTGACGACTAGTTTGTCAGGTTTTAACGGCTAGTTTGCGCAGATTTTAACGATTAGTTTGCACAGATTTTAACGACTAGTTCGCGCAGATTTTAACTACTTGTTTGTGCAGGGTTTAACTAGTTTGTACAGGTACCCAAAGCAGCCGTTGACAGCACACGGCCAGATGGGTGAAAAACCCCCAGAGATTTTCCATTGATCAGGTTTAAAGACTATCGCATGTCCATGGAGGCTGATAGAGTTCTCAAATCCGACCTTTATTAATTGCTTTTGGCTTAAATACATGCGTCGTGCCTCCCACTCCCTACTTCCCTCTGTCTGTCTGTCTGTCTGCCTGTTTGTCTGTCTGTCTGTCTGTCTGTCTGTCTGTCTGTCTGTCTGTCTCTCTCTCTCTCTCTCTCTCTCTCTCTCTCTCTCTCTCTCTCTCTCTCTCTTCTCTCTGTCTCTCTGTCTCTCTCTGTCTCTCTCTCTCTCTCTCTCTCTCTCTCTCTCTCTCCCTTTCTCTCTCTCTCATTCCTTTCCTTCCTTCCTCCCTCCCTCCCTGCCTCCCTCCCTCCCTGCTTCCCTTCCTGCCTCCCCTCCTCCCTGCCTCCCTCCCTCCCTCCCTCCCTCCCTGCCTCCCTCCCTCCCTGCCTCCCTCCCTCCCTCCCTCCCTCCCTGCCTCCCTCCCTCCCTGCCTCCCTCCCTCCCTGCCTCCCTCCCTCCCTCCCTCCCTCCCTCCCTGCCTCCCTCCCTCCCTCCCTGCCTCCCTCCCTCCCTGCCTCCCTCCCTCCCTGCCTCCCTCCCTCCCTGCCTCCCTCCCTCCCTGCCTCCCTCCCTCCCTGCCTCCCTCCCTCCCTCCCTGCCTCCCTCCCTCCCTGCCTCCCTCCCTCCCTGCCTCCCTCCCTCCCTGCCTCCCTCCCTCCCTGCCTCCCTCCCTCCCTGCCTCCCTCCCTCCCTGCCTCCCTCCCTCCCTGCCTCCCTCCCTCCCTGCCTCCCTCCCTCCCTCCCTCCCTGCCTCCCTCCCTCCCTCCCTCCCTCCCTCCCTCCCTCCCTGCCTCCCTCCCTCCCTCCCTCCCTCCCTCCCTCCCTCCCTCCCTCCCTCCCTGCCTCCCTCCCTCCCTCCCTCCCTCCCTCCCTCCCTCCCTCCCTCCCTGCCTCCCTCCCTCCCTGCCTCCCTCCCTCCCTGCCTCCCTCCCTCCCTCCCTCCCTCCCTCCCTGCCTCCCTCCCTCCCTGCCTCCCTCCCTCCCTGCCTCCCTCCCTCCCTGCCTCCCTCCCTCCCTCCCTGCCTCCCTCCCTCCCTCCCTCCCTGCCTCCCTCCCTCCCTGCCTCCCTCCCTCCCTCCCTGCCTCCCTCCCTCCCTCCCTCCCTGCCTCCCTCCCTCCCTGCCTCCCTCCCTCCCTGCCTCCCTCCCTCCCTGCCTCCCTCCCTCCCTGCCTCCCTCCCTCCCTGCCTCCCTCCCTCCCTCCCTGCCTCCCTCCCTCCCTCCCTGCCTCCCTCCCTCCCTGCCTCCCTCCCTCCCTGCCTCCCTCCCTCCCTGCCTCCCTCCCTCCCTGCCTCCCTCCCTCCCTGCCTCCCTCCCTCCCTGCCTCCCTCCCTCCCTGCCTCCCTCCCTCCCTGCCTCCCTCCCTCCCTGCCTCCCTCCCTCCCTCCCTCCCTCCCTGCCTGCCTCCCTCCCTCCCTGCCTCCCTCCCTCCCTGCCTCCCTCCCTCCCTCCCTCCCTCCCTCCCTGCCTCCCTCCCTCCCTGCCTCCCTCCCTCCCTCCCTCCCTGCCTCCCTCCCTCCCTGCCTCCCTCCCTCCCTCCCTGCCTCCCTCCCTCCCTCCCTCCCTGCCTCCCTCCCTCCCTCCCTCCCTGCCTCCCTCCCTCCCTGCCTCCC